AGAATGGGTGCAATCGGATTTGATTGTGGTATATTTGGAAGCATATTGTTGCTGATCGGCTTAAAAATTTGCTATAGTTCCTATTGAAGGAGAGGGAGTTCCACAACTGGCTGATCTGAGGAATGGTTATGAGTTTCTGCATATTTCTTTCATCATCGATAGTGTACAAAGGTTTTAGAACGAGGCTTTGTTTGATATGAGGTTTATTACTAGTATTGGGTTATTTTGAGCACCTACCGTGATTAGAAATTATCACTATGAGTATTTGATTTATGCGGTATATCATGCGATTACATATTGGGTTATGATTACAGCTTGATATAGCTTGTTTAGACTTATACAGTGTGTAGATGCGAGATTCTGATCTTATAAAAATTTTGGATGTTGGAAATTTGGTTCTGAGGTGATGAATTTTGAAATTTCCGTTATGTTGTGTTATCAGACCTATATGGGATAGGGTGACGTTGGATCACCCCCAGGTATGTGCAAGGTAAGGTTACACTGCGGTTTGATGGTTTTGAGAACAGCTCTAGGCACATTCGAGGACGAACGTATGTTTAAGTGGGGGAGGATGTAACAACCTGATCGGTCGCTCTGAGCAATTGTAGTTCACTCGGTAGTTTTCGGGCATGAGTAGCTCCGTATGATGTATTATGACTTATGTGAATCGTCGCTTTTGGTTTTCAGGTTATTCAGAATTGATTTGGAAGAATGATTCTGAGCTAGAAGCTTTTAATTTGAAAGGTTTGACCAAGTTGACTTTTTAGTTTTTGACCTCAGATTGGAATTTTGATGGTTCCGTTATCTTCGTCGGGTGATTTTGGACTTAAGAGTGCATCCGAATTTTGATTTGGAGGTCCGCAGTAGAATTTGGCTTGAAATGGCAAAAATTAAAATTTTGGAAAGTTTGACCAGGAGTCGACTTTTTGATATCGGGGTCAGATTCCGATTTCAGAAGTTGGAGCAGGTCCGTAATGTCAAATGTGACTTGTGTGCAAAATTTGAGGTCAATCGGACGTGATTTGATAGGTTTCAGCATCGGTATGGAAGTTTGATGTTTCAAATTTATTGATTTCGAATTGAGGTGTGATTCGTCGTTTTGATGTTGTTATGTCTGTTTTGACGCCTCAAGTAGGTCCGTGTTATGATATGGGACTTGTTGGTATGTTCGAACAGGGTCCCGAGGGGCTCGGGTGAGTTTCGGGGTGAGTTTTGAGCGAGTCCGGGCATTTCGGCACTCTAATGGTCTTCCGGAACGTTGGAAGTGCGGACCACACAATTCCATGTGCTAAGGCACTTTTTTGAGTGCTGTAGCAGATGAAAAAGTGCCGCAGTAGACGAAAATATGGGGACCATAGAGGAAAAGTGCGGACCGCACAATTTTGTCTGCGGCCGCACTTCAGGATGTTCTGCAGGTTCGCTGGTCCGACTTTTGGAAGCATATATATGTTGATCCACAAGGAATTTGGAGATGATTCAAAAACTAAAGTTATAGACATTCATGTCTAGTTTCCATAAAGGTAAAGCTATCATCATTTGGACATCAATAAAGAAAGTTATGGCCAATTTACTGAATCCTACTAGTGGAGAGGCTATGAAGTGTGGCCGCACAATTTTCGTGCGATCGCAGGACTTGGAAATGTGCGGACCGCACATTGGGAGGTCAGAGGGAGTACTATATAACCGAGGATTAGGGTATTATTTCATTTTTGGACCTAGAGAGCTCGGTTTCTAACGATTTTTCGTGGGGTTTTCAAGAAATTCATCGGGGTAAGTGATTCTAACTCGGATTTGGTTAATATACATGAATATATCATTGTTTTCATCATCCAATTAGTATTTTGAGATGGAAATTGGAAAAATTGTAGAAATTTCATAAAATGAATTTTTGGGGTTTGAATGTTGATTTGGAGTCGGAATTGATTGAAACTAGTATGGTTGGACTCGTAATTGAATGGGTTGTCGGATTTTGTGAGTTTTGTCGGGTTTTGAGGTGCGGGCCAAGGTGTGATTTTTGTCTGTATTTGGGATTTGATTTAGGATTCGATCTTTATCATTTGTAATTGTTTCCTTGGGCTTTATCGGATGTATTTGAGTTGCTTTTGGCTAGTTTTCAGCCGTTCGGAGGTCGCTGAGCGCGTGATGGAATTTTTCGAGCATCACCTGGCTTGCTCGGTATTGGAATTGACTTGTTCAAGATAAGTAACTCTTCTAAACTTAGTGCTGAGGATATGAAACCCCGAATTACGTGTTATGTGATTAGTGTTGAGGTGACGCACATGCTAGGTGATGGGCGTGTGGGCGTGCCCCCTTTGAGTTGTGACTATGTTGTTTCCATAGCACTGTATATTAGTCCTATTTTGTTGATATCTGTTTCACCATGTGATAAAGTAATTGAGCTGCCAATCAGGCTAGATATCATGTCTACGCTTTGTGCCGATATTGTTGGGACCCACAATGGTCGTTTCTTGTTGTCATCTCACTGATTCCATTAATATTTCGTACTCAGTTATGTTCATGCATTCATATCATATCTCAGTCTCAGTTGTTATTTATTGATGCATCATATCATCATTTTTGGGCTGATTTCTTCATGATATTTTTGAGCCCGAGAGACTGGAGAGATTGATGACTGATTGAGGCCGAGTGCCTCATTGTGAGGATGATTATGGGATCGGGCTGCACGCCGCATCATGTTTTATTGATTAATACCATGAATGGATTGTTATAGCGCTTGGGCTGAGGGAGCCCCTCCGGAGTTTGTACCAGTGAGCACAGGTACCTATTGAGTGCGAGTGTCGAGTGTCGAGTGCCGAGCGCCGAGTGATTGGGAGGATTGAGTGAGTGTGAGGACTAAGTGACCGTGAGGGCTGAGTGACTGATACTCTGAGAGTATGCATATGGTTCTATCACCGAGTCGCATAGCATTTTGGCATGCACATGACATACAGGCATAGAGATGCATTTTCCTCATGCCGTACGGTATCACGTCATTCATGGCTTTTTACACACATTGATATGTGGGCATAGAGAGGTATTTTACACTTGCTATCTGGAAAGAAAAATGAAACATCTATTTATTGTGGAAAGGTTTTTTGGGAAAAATTACAGTTTTCAAACTTACTCATATTTTTGACGATTTTGTAAAGGATTTGGGTTTTCACTGATATACTCGAAAGGCGAAATTGTTTTCGGAAAATTATGAAAAGGCTGGCCATTTTATCTCTAAGCTACTTCTTTATTTACTTGCTTTACATTGTTATGAACTGCTATTGGTTATTGGTGTTGGACCCGACTTATGTTCCAGCTCGTCACTACTTTCAACCTAATGTTAGGTTTATTACTTATTGACTACATATGGTTGGTTGTACTCATACTACACTTCCTGCACATTGCGTGCAGATTTCGGATGCCGATGTTGCTGTGCATGGCGGGGGCTAGCATTGAAGTTGTACTTGCATTCCTGCTGTAGCTGCCTCTTGATCATGGTAGCCTTAGATTTATAAACTCTGTTTATGTACTTTTCAAACAGACGATGTATTTATTCATACCAGCTTGTAAATTATATTCTTAGAAGCTCATGATTTGTATTACCAGTCCTTGGGAAGTGTATAAGATTCAGATAATTCCTTTGTTTAATTCTCTTATTAACATTATTGAAATTGGATAATTATTAGTTGGCTTACTTAGCGGGTTGAGTTAGGTGCCATCACGACTAGTGAATTTTGAATCGTGACAAAAGGCACTCCAATATCGAGGATGAATCTTCTAAATTCACCAAAATCCTTACCCATATCACCATGGTTTAGAAAAAAAATCTTTCCTTCTTTTGGGCAAATATTACTCTTTCCATGATCTAGTATTTTTTTCCTTTTTCTCACATCCCCTACCAACGACTCTTTTCTCTCCCCCATCTATTTATATTCCTCTTTCTCAATTTTTACAGGGACAAGTTATACCCTAAGGTGAGGAGAGAAATACATACGGACAGAACCAAAAAGAGGAGACATACTACCTTAGAGTCCCATGCCGCCTCTCTCCACTCTCATCTCTCTTTCGGATGCCATTATCACTAGTACCCCCGCCTCGAATATTTAATTTTCATCTCTGTTCGATTTGATGTTTATTGGTTTTCGGAGTTTTGGTGTATGTTCATAACTTCCTGTTATTATGAATATGGTTTTTGCTTTGTAGTGAAATATGCATCTGGGGCATGCATGTGTTTGATCGTGTATTAAAATCACATTTTTTTTTTATTGTTTCTGCTTTCAACTAGGGTCAAGACATTTAATGACACTCAAATGTTGCTGCTTATGCCTCTTGCTATAATTTTTACAATTAAAGTTATGAACTACTGGAAGTATTCCTTAGTGATATGGTAATAGAACTCAAAATAACTCGAGTGCAATAGTCCTATTTTCATTATGATATAATTCCTCTCTTCCGATTATAATATTTATTACTACTTCTTAGAGTTTAATCCAATCATTATTAATATCTTTTAGAACTGTTATGCATTACATGTAGGGATATATTGAAATAGACCTGTAATGAGAAGCTAATGACTAAACGAGTTGTGTGGATTTGTACCGCTCTATGCATTTTATTTTATACTACTATTTAGAAGCGGGAGTTAAGGGCTTGTTCGTCGTCCTGCTTGCTGTCCAAAAGGGTAATTTCGGGATTTTATCCAGCAGAAGAGTCATCTTTAACTTCAGGTTGGACTCTTCGTCTTCCTGCTTCCGATTTACAGTTAGATCCCCTTTTTTGGATCAGAAGTCGGGGTATTTTTGTCACTCTGCTCAGTTTGTATTTTCTGTAGCAGTCTTTTCAGTTTGCCCGCTACGCGCCTTTTCCATCGACGTGGAAGACAAACTAGTTCTTGCTTCTGCTGCTGTCAGTTGTTTCTCCAGATGTGTAACACCCGTATTTGGCCAGATGTGTAACACCTGTATTTGGATGGATATCCGATTAGGGGTGACGCTAATAATATCTTCAACAGCTTCTGTTCTGCTTTGGGTTTTCTAGCTTATTGCTCTGTTCCTTTTAGTGTCTCTGCTTGCTGGCTGGAATAGGTGAGTACTTCTGGCTTTGTTTCCTTTTAATTTAAAGTGCTCTCTTACGTGAAAGACTCTTCTCGATTGATTTTCATTCGTTAAGTTAGCACTTTAGACCTTTCCTTGAACTGTAGGAGTGCCATTTCATACTTATCCTTCCACGATTGACAGATTATTAAAACCATATTGTTTTTCTTGTGTTAACTGATCAGATATGCTTTTACTTAGTAAGGTGAAGGATTAAATGTAGACGTTTTCTCTAACGTAGTAAACTTAGACTTTTACAACTGTCAGATTATTGAAATCATGGTATTGTCCTTGAAACGTTTTACGTAATTGGCTAATAATAATACGAGTAACTAATATGTCAATGTCCTTTGGTAATCATACATTGTATCCAAGTTATTATTCACCCTACTAATTTGCAATCCTTTGAAGTTCATTTTATTTACTACCCTGTTGCAAACCTTTTGACTGCTACACCACGCATTTTCCATGTAATACCAACTCTCAGTTAACTAATGTATACATCATTTTAATTTTTCTGTTTACCAAGAGATTTTTTAACTCTCTACCCGCATGGAATACGAATGACACTTCGTAACATGTCTATTTGATGTCGTCCATAGGGAACTATTAACTTGCTTTCTCTACTATTACTACTGAACTATTAGTGAGACTAAGAACAAAATATCGTCAATCGCATTCAAAGTTGTTTCGAGCAGTATCAAGATTTCACAAACCACTTTGGTTATACTATTATTCTTCCATCGTTTTGTCCAAATTTTCATGTTCTCAAGAACCTGTGCATTTAGTTATCCCTTGCCCCCTAAATTCCAATTGACAAGTAGAAGAAAAGAGAAAACAACTGGTGGAAGCTTGAGATGGTGGCGTCATAAGAAAGGTAGCTAAAAGTGGTGGCAGCTTCACCTTGGCCTCATAACAGAAGTATCTAAAACTTTTAGAATTTCTGGGGTGGTCACAAAAAGTATCCCGACTCAGTTTCTTCTCTCATTTAAACGTTTTAGACGTATATAATTACTTTACATATTTTGCGGTGCAATACAGTTGATTCTCTTTACTTTTGCTGCATGAGATGTACATCTGAGAAAGGGGAGTTCAACTACACATTCTTTAGTTCAAAGAGAGATGCTGACTTTATGTCAATGATATAAAATAATTTTAGTTACGCTTTATGACTGACTAATATTTTTCCTCCCACCCCCTTTTTTTTTTGGTAGCGCTCTACAAATTCCAATTCCTGTATAGATTAGTTATCAATTGTATTTCATGAGTTTGCGGCTGCTCATACTGTACTTGTTTACTATTTTAATATTTCAGTATTTCGCATCGGTATGTCTCCATGTGTCTATATGGATACACTTCTGCAAAGGTAATTGAGTAACTCATCATTCTATTAAACTGCAGGAAGAGCAAGTAGGCGCTGTTCTGTACGGGGAAGACATAGAAAAGTATACAGACAAGCTCACCCCGTTTTCCACTTACTTGATATCTACTGCAAAAGTGAGGGTTTCTACCCTACGGAGTGCCTATCAGCCGTTTTGAATAGGTTATTGACAAATTCACTGTTGTCGAAGAGGTGAAAGATGACAACATACAAGACCCACGCTCCCGCCGCCGACGAGGTTGAATACTGTACCCTTTGCATATTTGCACGAGCTGCAACGGAATACGGAATTTGGTAACCATCGTAGTATACTCTAACAATTAAAATTTATTTGTATCCTTACACTCTGACACTGTGTACATTGGTCTAAATTATAACTCATTTGCAACGTCCACTAAACAGATATAGTTGCCGTTGTGGTGAATTGTGGCTCCATAAAGTATGTTGGCGCTAACAGTAGCAAATGTCGTGAAGTCATCGTAATGGATACCAAGTAAGTCTGCTAGCACTCTATTTACTTTATTGTTGTCGCAACTACTTGTAAAAAAAATTGGCTACAATGTCGTCTTATTCACTTGATTACTTCGGTCAGATACCTTCAATTAAGAAGTTATAGTGTCATGAGATTATAATCTCAACCATCTCCTCATCAATGTCACCTTCTTCGACTAAAGCTAGCAAGAAGAAATTTCTCCAGACTCATTTATTGCATCTTCAGTTTGATCTATGACACTTGCCTTACCGTTTTATTCAACAAATTTAATCTTTCTGCGAATAGAACAAGGCATAAGATCTCCAAAAACAAATTGTATAAGCTTTCAGTCATAATACAGCTTTCTCTTCGTCCTGACATTGTGAGCTACAACATTTCAGCGATTACCATGGTTTAGTACAATTTTTTTTGTATATTGGCCTTGGTAAAATCCAATACTACTCACGAGAAAAGAAGTGCAACGAAGTCTGAAATGTGTTTAGCACTGTTTTTTTAATATGTCCATTACTGCCTTTTTTTAATGTATACATTGACTGCTATCATCTGACACATCTTAGTCAAGAAGACTTCATTAGTAAGCGGGAGATCAATATTTCTCATCTTCTACTGCCCGCGTCATTTTTGTAGCTAAAACATGATTCATATATAATATGAGTTACTTTGAGTATTAAGCCAGCTTTGAGTAGATGCTGAGTGCATTAAACCCGATATCTGGACATCATAACCACAAAATTGGTTAAACAGTTTGTACTACACTATGGAGAACACGGAAACCTTCGTTATTTTAGATAACCAACCCTGAACCTCCTTAAGATTCAGTAGATTTAAGACATCCCAAAATCCAAGAAATACAAGAGGAATAATAAGAAAGCACATACTAGATGTATGCAAGTTTATAGAAAATAAATAAAGACAATAAGCCACTAATTACAAATGCAATTTTAACAAATAGACACACAATGAGACCCTTAAACATAACAGATCTTGATGAATTTGATCAACTAGGAAATAAACTGCTGATGATTTTTCAAAAGCCAATAACCTGATTTTCCAATGTGTCACATTGGCTGAAAGCATCCATCCAAATGCTCCCTTATTTACTCTTCTACATCAATTACAACTTTCTATAGAAATATTTTTGGTTGACAAAAAAACCTTAACAACGAATGATAAAGTGCAATATATTAAAATATGAAAAACTATTTAGATAAGTTCTTAAGTTCCTATACAGATAGAAAGTTCCCTTCTGAATCCTTATACGCGGCAATCTATCAGGTAATTTATCTGTTCTCTTTTTTGAACCCTAAAATGTATATTTTTACTATATATTCGCTGCGTAGACTTTAGAAAATACAGTGACAATTACATATTCCAGAAGTCATTAGTTCTAAACTGGAAAAAACTGTGTAGGTCATGCTACATTTGTATGCTTAAACACACAATATGCATCATTTAAATGACCTTTCTGTCAACCTTCACTCTCCTGCGTGAACATGTTACTTACTTACAGCATTGTTTGAATTCCAGTCTTACCGAATTGTGTCTGCGTGAACATGTTACTTACTTACAACATTGGTAAGAACTGGTTATTCTTACCAATGTTATATATGCAAATTTTCTCACCAAAACTGAACTACTCTTGGGGAAGTGTCACTTTGCTCTTATATTCAGTGAGTATTTTGGTATGGTATATATAACATTGGTAAGAATAACCAGTTCTTCTATGAGCTTCCAATATGTACTATTACCCCTTTGATTAGCTATGAAATAGCACTGCACCACATTGGTTTTCGGAGTTAGCTGCTATACCATCTGACAAATAAGCTGATACCGTTGGTCAATGTTGACTAGATTTCTGCAAAATTAATTTACTCCTTCAACAGGAACTACTGCAGTCACTGAGGCTAATAGTTTCTTATTTGTATTCTTAGAACATGTCTACACTATATGTCCACACACCATATTTGTACTATATGTTGGAGCTCTGGCCAGTTGAAAATTATGTTCTATACATTATAACTGTGGTCAACTAGAAAAAATATTTTTTCGATACTTTCTGTTAATTTTCAGTATTGTTGGTGTAATCTTCACAATAATTTGTCACTGGAGCAACCAATTCCTGTTATTTCCTATGTTTTATAAGTTTGTCAGCTGTGACAACCTCTTTGTGTCATTTTAAATGTGCCTCACATTTTGTTGCCATTGAAATGCCTCTATACACGTACAGGGTCAAAGACAACCGACCAAGACTAATGAGATACACTCAGCAAACGGGGGTTGATCGTCTCTGGTGCTTGCAGCAGACCAAGACGATATTGTTCCAATTGCTGCTATCCAGTCACAACCTCATATATGTGCATTTCACGCATGCTGATATGTGTACATATAGACAACTTTAGTATTTTTACCACAACTAATAAATCTACTTGCATTCTCCTCTTTCACAGATACACCTGTTTTATGTGGAAGGTAAATTATCATTTCCGACTGCCGACCAAGATTTCTATGAATTACTGTGTTTCCATTGCGGGCAGCAGTACAGAACTCATTCACCGAAAATATTCACTGTGTGAGCTGCAAGCAATGTGCGATGTTGACACCCAGGTATTGCGTCTTGGAGTCCGAGCTTCATAAAATATATTCGTTCTATATCTTCAAAGAAAGAAAGTTTCTTCAGTCATTGGCTTTATGAAAATCAAATAATGCAAATTAATTGCATATTAGGGCCCGCTTTGAGGTTGTAATGACAGATGCCAGTGGATCAACTGTTGCAACATTAATAGGCGAATTAGGAGAGAAATTTATTGATATGACCGCCACAGATATCTGTGAAATATCAACTAAGGTACGTTGTTGATGGCAGCAGGAGAAACCTTTTTACAATTATGATACCGTGAAAACAAGTTTGCTCTTACTTTTTCCAATTATGTATTCTTTGATGTTTGCCTTTGCAGATAAAATGTAACCACTAATTAAATAAGTTGGAAAAAATATCTTAAAGAAAGTGATTTGATATTTTATTTATAACTGAATTTCAGAATCACAACTAAAGCAGTCTCACGTACACGTTAAATGGTCTACTGGATAAGTTTTTCAAAACAAACAGAACCATACATAGAGGTAAAAATAATATCAAAATAAAAAACTCAACAGAAACAACAACACAATATTTAGTCTTAAATTTAACATTACAAGGGCGTCGCCAGGTTGCAGGCGAGATCGAGCTGGCATCCTCACGTCGCCAGGTATATAGCATGATGGACCTGGCTAAAACCCTTGCGTTGCCTGGTTTTTGCCGCGCTACAGGTCTGGCTAGGCGAGGTCCAAAGATAGCTAGGAAGCTCGCTAAGCCTGCTGATGCTGCTAAAAAAACTGGGCAATCCTAGCTTGTAATTGCCTTGATATAAGTCTCTCTTTTGTAGCTGCAAATGATGGTTACTACGCTGCAATATCTGGTCAACAACATAGGTGCAAATGACAAATAGAAACAGCCTCCACCCTAAGGTTTTGGCATCCAATATAGCACCTAATGTCCTCCAAAATCTCCTTGCCACTATGCTTATACGTAGCTTTGATTCCTTTCCATTGGAATGAGTACACAACTGGAAATTCCTCAAAAGATAAGGCATAGTTACAGTAATGTCTCCTGCAAAAATGAACACAAAGTTCCCCCTAAAGGTTTGATCATGGTGATTGAATGTTTGATCTTTAGCATATTCAACTTCCTCTGCAATGTTATATTTTTGACAACTCCTGTGTAGTTTTACCTGGCTCCCTGTATCAAGTGCTGATGAAATGGACTGCATTAAGATGATCCATAATGCTCCCTTTGGTCCCATATTCAAAGACTAGCGCTGCATATTTCTGGGCAGCATATTCCTATTTTCCCAACCTGGTACATTCCTGTTGTATAGTTCATGATGAACTCTGCCTTGATTCTCTCTAGCAGCAGTACCTTCTTTCTGGAGTACTGACCTTTGTTTCATGAAAGTATTGCTTCGTTTACTGACCATAAACCAACTGTGTGATGTCTTCAACTTCATGCTTGTGCTTACCATATTAACTCCTTCTAAGGAATGAACACTAGGTGCTAATACCACCCAAAGAAATCGTATAATACGATAAGGCATGAGAACAGTAACTTTTCCTGCAAAAAAGAAAACATAGTTAGTGAAAAATGAGCTCAACATATCCTCCTCCCTAAGGCTTGAATATGATGATCCAATGAACTCTCCCGTCCCCTGTTCTTCCTAACTCCTTACTCCTTAATTTTTGGCAACCTTTACCCTCAAGGATGGACATTGCATCTTATCTTCATTCACAACCCTCCTGCCTTTTGTGTCTAGATCCCAGAAGTCAAAACACTCTATATTGCCAACATCTAGAAACCAGCCAGTAGAACCAATTATTAATCACTAAAACCAGCTGTCAAAATGAATGGTTTCTTTTACAGCATAAGCATGGAAAAGTACTGCTCAAACTCTTTATCAACGGTTAGTTTCTTGAGACCTGGCTCTGGATCTGCATCACAAGAAAAATATGTATCATATAGGTAAATCTTACAACATTTCTAAACCAAGTAACCACGTCCTCTAAATAGAGGCGGACCTATGTATTATGGTGAGGGGTCACCGGACCCATAAGCTTCGGCAAAAATCCTTTATATGTATATGTATATACCTTGAAAATGGTTAATTTTAAAGTACTTGGCACCCTGAACACTAAAATCCTTTATGGGGCACTGGTTGAGCTCTGGCATAAAAATCCTCAGTCCGCCTCTGCCTCTATACAAACATACAAGGACCGACAAGAGGCATGCAACTGTGCACACACATCTGCACGCAAATTGGAGCAGACACCAACACACAAAAAAAAAGAACTGCAAGTCATCCAATACTTAGTCAAGTGTGATTAGAACAAACCATTCTTTTCAAATGTCTTTATTCTTCCTTCTATAAATTCAACAAAGTGCCTTGAAAGGACATTAACATTAACCCCTTGAAAATTCTTAGATTAAATTTCAGTGATAACTGAAAATTAGAACTTAAAGTTAAGAAGAGAGAAAAAATAAAGAATCACAGACAAGAAGAGTAACAAAACGAGGAAAAAATGCCATTTTGTTTGCTTGTATTAAGCAAAATGATGTTGACTTACGTTACCTTACGCAACTACGTACTTTTTCTTCCCCACCAACGTATACTTGTTAATTGATTAACCCTAGGTTGTTACCTGAATATTCAATGTTGCTTTGTTAGTTCATCATCTGACTTGTACTGCTTGGCAATGTTAGTTACTGCCAATGCATAGAGGTTGTCAACAATTTTCTTAGTAAAGTACCAATTATGTCTACTTATACCGCCATTTCCACATGCCTGTCGAAAACTAAAACATCTCCTTTAGGTCGCTTAAATATTACAATTGGCTTCTTAAATTCATCATTAATCAAAAGATAATTAAAAGCTATAGAAGCTTGTAGCCTCTGTATCCCAAGTACTTTATAGGCTTAAAACTTCCAATTAATGCAAAGTATATTACTTTTGAGTACTATTTTAATGTGTTAAATTTATCTTTTTCTCTCCTGCAGAACCGGCCATTACCTCTTGAACATGTTCGACAGCGTCTTCCTCGTAAACTCTTCAAGATACAACTGCGAAAAACATTTTCTAGAACTTCTGATCCACGATTGTTCATTGTATCCTACTCCGTCAAGCAAGATTTGTTTCAATTGCCCGTACCAGTAGCCTCTGAAGAAATTGGAGAGAGCAGTAACACTAAATTGGAAAATGCTGAGCTGAACAAAGATATACAAAACGAAGATAGCAATCAGTCGAATGTGGAACAAGTTACACCCATAGAAGAGATAAAGAACGAGTTAACTACGGAATGTGGCTCTTCTAGCAAGAGGCAACAAACTGAACTGGAGACCCCCCCCAAGAAAAAATGAAGGTTAATAAACTTTATCTCGACTTTTTCATTACTTTGTTCCATACTTGTGATAAACTTTTAGGAGCTTGTTACTCATGTTCAAGTATAACTTCTACGACTTCTGCTGTTCGAGTAGCAAATTATAATTGCAGCACAAACAGCTCAAAAGAAACTTCAAAAGAAAAAAGGCCTATTGCATATTGCATTTCATGATATATTCATTCATAAGCTCTATTTCGCTCATATTCATCCTCTCCAAAGAATGCCCTCCAGCAACAAATCCAAAAAGAACAGACAGAGAAAGAAGTAGTTTCATGCTAACTCCTAATTTGCCTGTGATTGGTAAACAATACTGTGTTGCTAATGTTGCCAATCCATTGTTAGCTAAATTTCAAGTGCATTATCTTTCATTAAATATTAGTAATACTACAGTACTCCTACCTATGAAAGAATTCTCTAAGTTCCTATTTGTTCAATTCAGTATTGTTGCGCTTTTTATTCCTTATAAAAAAATACTTATAAAGTAGTACTACTTTATCTGTACAGGTACTCTAAGACGTTCTTGTGCTTGGATTGATTTATACTTTTTACCTTGCACTTTTATTTCCCTTGTATTGCTATAACTGACTAAGATTATGCAACATATTTCTCAATTTGTAGTTTACTGATAAAACCAGTTAAATAAATGTGCTGCAGGATTTATTCAACTATAAAGGCAGAGAATTCTGTCTTAAAATAGAAGGGAAGAGTGAATGTTCAAAACAGATAAAAACTCTAACATAGTATTATTTTAAAATATCATAAAGGATAGGAGCAAGAAATTGAATATCCATAAGATTAAGAGTAGCATATAGTTGATCAGAAGATGAAGGGAAAATTGCAGAACTGCTGTGACCTTCTGCCACCTGGTATTTTCACCAGAACTGGAAGAAGAAGATTTGGCTACCCATATTTTATGTTTATGGACATGATTCATTAATAGTTTCTGATGCAAAGGCCCAACATGATTAGCGTAGGTTTTTAGGTTAGTTGAAGTCTTTTAGTACAATATTGTAGACAGTATTAGCATCTGAAAATAGGTCTTTCAGAACAAAGTAGAGAAAAAAGTTGTGCACAACACTAAAGACGTCATAATTGTCACTATATTGCAGGCTAATACACAAAGGTATTCTGTGTGCCATCACCTTAGCTATAAATAACCAAATTTGTGAGTTCGAAAACTAAATACACCTTCTAAAGTTGATGCAACTCCCGTTTTTATTGATCTGCAACTATCAATTTGAAATCTCAAGTGCATTTTGTTCGCAGGGTGTTATAACTCTGTAAAATGCTTGTACATACGTCTTATCCTACTAAGTAAATACGTGTTTGAAGATCGCTAGCTTCTGCTTGACAGGTAATGCAAAGAACAACCCCTACTTTTTTCAGGTACCAGAAAATGTTGCCACTTGCCGTTATTGACGTCGTTTTGTTTGCAAAATCGCAGAAAACATGGACAACACAGTTCATTTTGTGTAACTTACTGGCATGTACATATATATTTTTGTTAGCCGGTAAAACATATTTGTGTTGTAGCTGATGTAAATAGTGGGTTGAAAGACTGACAGTAAATATGACCTCCTTATTGGCTTGACTTTTTTTTCTTCACTCTGCTACGTATCCAACTTTCTAAGACCCAATCGAAAGAAATTTACTATCATCCAAATGATAATTCAAAGGGATAGAAAACATGGACAACACAGTTCACTTTGTGTAACTTACTAGCATGTACATATATATTTTTGTTAGCCGGTAAAATATATTGGTGTTGTAGCTGATGTAAATAGTGCGTTGAAAGACTGGAAGTAAATATGATCTCCTTTTTGGCTTGAATTTGTTTCCTTCACTCTGCTACGTATCCAACTTTCTAAGATTGAATCGAAAGAAATTTACTGCCATCCAAAGGATATTCAAAAGGATTACGACGCGCTTCTTCCCAAAGACCATAATGTTTAACAAATCAACTCACATATCTCAATACATAACTGATCAAAATGCAAGTTGTTCTCTGTAGAATGTAATTTATTTTCTTTATAAATTAATATAAGCTGCTACTTTAATCAAGTTTGGGCCGGGCTCAGCACGGGCCATTCCCACTAGTAACTTAATAACCTACTGCTAAGAGTTGGTAGTTCTTTTAAATGTTTTGATTTGTCGAATGAATTTTGATATTTAAGTAGCATGAATCAGTTGGTATATTTGTTCTGCGTGTGGATCTACTCCAGTGTCAATTAATGACTTGTGGGAGATTAAGGACTTTGAGGTCGAGTCCATAAAACAAGAAAAATAAACAAAAAAAATATTTACTTATTTATTTAAAAAATGACTAAGCCGGTCTCTTTTTAGTTTTTTTTAAACGATAATTGACTAAGCGGGTCAAAATAGATAATTTAACAAAGGAATAAATTATCCTACCCAACCCGTATTTGAGATGGATAAAAACGGGTTTATCCGGCGGATAATATGGATACCATATTATCCACGGCTTCTTAAATATGACCACTTATGAGAGAATTCCTTGCCTTCCAAACTTGAGGAACTCCAATTTGAGGCTTTAGAAATGTAAAAGTTAAACACATTAGTTATCCATTGATTATCCATTTGGTTAACCATTTTCTAAGTGGATAATATGGTTCTTTATCCATATTGATCCGTTTTTAAATGGTTCATTAACTAACTTATTTTTTGATGGATAATATGGATGGATAACTATTTTTTTTTTTTTTTGATTATTTTGCCACCTCTAGTGAAACCTTTTCTTACTAAACGTCACACTTACTTGGCTAAGTGTTTCTTTAATTGCATAAAAATATAATTTATTATGTGTTATCCTTGTTCTTGACCGGCTAGTCAAACTGCTTGCTTTACGTGCTTATATATCAATTTTTGACCTCATATTAAAGTCGCCATTAAGGTCAACGGCATGTGATTAACAATTGTCACAACGCCATACCTCTAAAGCAGCGCACATTTTTTACTAACCATTTTTATTTTTGAGCCGCGATTACCATGGAATTCACCGCAAGCAATTTCGTCGTGGAGAAGAAGTCTATCCCGTTTCATACCTCTCTTCTTTAACGAACTTGAGATTTGCAAATACATAGTGAAACAATATTTTATTGGCGATGAGCAAAAGGATTTACGAGCTGAAGGATTCTTTGTATGAACGCTATGTATGTCTTTACTCGGTATTATCGTGAATTATGTGTCTTTAATGTGAATTATGTATATGGATATAACTGAAACAATAAGTTGAAATTATTTCAGCATTTGGGTTTCGAAACAGTAATTCATTCATACATCAAACATACCACTTTGATAATCTTTTTTTTTTCTCTTTTTATTTTAATTATTCTGATCCATTTTTTTGTCGCAAGCTTTGACTTATTTTATTACCATACATTTAACTATTTTGTTATATTATGATTGAGACAACTTTACTTTTTCTCAGTTGAGTATTTAAATATCAGATCGAATATATTTTATAAAACTACTTCACTACTTTATTTATAAAAGAATATCGTAGTCACTTTCTTGGTTAATAAAATGTATTTATGTCCAAGTAATCCCACTTTTCATGCTAAATGCTATTTTGTTGCTCAAACTCTTTTCTTTTCTCTTCGTCCTTTATTTTCTAATACTTTCGCTTAACATACTAATTTATCATTTGCATGTTCAATCACTTAGCTTAATCAATTAATAATCCCACATAGTTTAAAATTAGGACAGGAACCACATTTGTGGACCTCGAAGAGTGCCTAACACCTTCTATTTGAGGTAATTTGAGTCCTTACCTGATCTTTGATAACACAGACTAGTTAAAATAGAGTTAGTTGCATATAGGTGCCCTAACGCACCTTAAAAATCGTTGAGTGGCAAATCTTTTTCTTATTACCCATTAAAAGAGTTGTCACGTGTCGAAACATGCTTTCGCGAGAAAACAGAGCGCGACAGCATGGCGACTCTGCTGGGGAAACACTTAGGCTCTTACCATAACGAATTTGACTTATGTGAATTATTTTCCTTATTTTTCTATATTTGTTTAAATTACTATGACATGCACATCCCTTCCCTTATTTTCCTATATTTTTTTTAAATTGCTATGACATGCACATCCCTTCATCTTTATCTGTTTTAAATTGCTATGGCATGCACATCCCTTCCCTTATTCTCCTTTATTTGCTATGACATGTATGACTTCTCTCCATCTCTTCATCTTGTCTAAGGCTGCTATATTATAACTCTCCCATCCCTATTTACCTACCTGCTTCATTACGTTACATTTTCATGAGCTAAATTGACTTATCTCTTTTGTCTTTTTTTTTCTCTTCTTTTCATGTTCGCCTTTGCTATTTTATTTACTGCTTTTACGCACTTACCATGCCAATACTTGGCAATGTGTTATTATTTCTGAATAAAATATGCTCCACATCATACTCTACTTGTGCCAATCATCAATATAGCGGCGCTTGATGAGTGTCCGCGCTTTTCTGAAATCACTCTTTTTAAATCGGAAAAGCTTATTTGCAGTAGACTAGTCGATCAGCAGTGTACTCCCTTGTTTGTATCTTCCTCCAAAGATCATCAGTGCCAGTCTCAACAACAGGCGGCATAGGCGCCGCTTCTTTGCTTGTTCCTCCCAGATTTTAAGGTGTGTAAACTCTGCCAGTTCTAGTCATACCTTGTGCGACACCTATTTCTTCCATTTTGGCTTTTCCCTTTCTTCTTGCTTTCGCAACATAATCCCACGGGACGACATCAGACTTGTACGATGGTGTGGGAGATACCATTACAATGATGGGTGTAGCTACCTCAACTTCAAATGACGCATGCGTTTGTACCATAACTGGTGTGAGGGTGACCGGAGATTTTTTAGGAGCATCTCCCTCTAGAATGAGTCCTATGGACCCTTTCTGATCCCACTCTTCAACAGTTTCTATCACATTCACTCCCTCACTTCTGTGATCCGGGAGAGGGTTGTTGCGGACGTTTGGTGCAGCTTCCTTTGCTTGTATAACCTTAGTGTCGATCAGTGTCTTAATCTTGTCTTTCAACGTGCGGCATTCCTTAATGGTATGAACCTTCATGCCTGAATGATAAGCACATATTTTGTTGAGGTTGATCCATTGGGAAGCTTCCACAACAACAACAGGAATAGGGGTGACGTAACCAACGGCCTTCAGTATTTTATACAGTTGGGCTATGGGTTCAGCAATTGGGGTGTATTGTCTAGGAGGTCTGCGGTCGAGATTTGGACATGGCTTTGGGCAGTTTTTGTTGGCGGGTGGAGGTGAGTAGTAATATGCAGGTTGAGTGTTGTAGGTATGGTAGGTGGTGGCAGGGCATTGATATTTTTGGGGTGAGGATTGATATGTTGGTGGAGGTGTTTGGTATGTGAGGGGGGACTTAGGGCCCTAGGATACCATCACGGCACTCACTTCTTTCTTCTTTGAAATACCTCCTGATTGCAAGGATTTATTTATGGCTTGCAGCGCCTCTAAGTTAGTTACGATCCCGCTCTTGATTCTTTCTTCTATTCTCTCTCTCAACTTGATGATGTCTGAAAACTTGTGATTCTCGATGACCATCAATCTTTCATAATACTACAGATCTTGAGCTCTAACAAAGAACTTGTTCATTTGTTCTTCTTCAAGTGCTGGCCTTACCTTTGCAGCCTCTGATCTCCAATGAGTAGCATACTCCCGGAAGGTTTCTGTCGGCTTCATTTTGAGGTGTTGAATGTAGAAAATGTCTGGCACGTTCTCTGTATTGTACCTAAATATGTCCATGAAGTCTGATGCCATACTCACCCAATTTGCCCATTTCTTTGGGTTCGGCTAATATACCAAGACAAGGCGTCTCTTGTAAGACTTTGCATGAACAGTTTCATGCAGATTTTGCATGTTTTGTGGTGGTGTTTGGTACTGGGTAGTCGGGTTTTGCTGGTTGATATCGGGAACATTGAAAGTAAGGGAAAGGTTTTCCAGATTTCGTACCTGCTCAAGCTCGCCCTGTAATTCCAGGATTTTCCGCTCAAATCGTATGACCAACTCATTTTGCCCCGGAGTGCTTCTACCATATGAAGTTTCAACATTTTCCGCCATAGCAGCATTATCTTTTCGGATACCACTTAAATCATCCATTTTCCCTTTGCCCTTGTTTTTGCTCTTCGAGTTGCTAGGTGGAGACCTCTAGATCAAGTGTGGTATGCTGATGATACCAGTATGCACGAACCAACCTTTGGGAATGGGAATAATCAAAAAGGAAAGAAAAGCAAAAGGTAACCAAGTTGGTAAGGTGAGATAAAAGAATGTTCGCAATATTTAAATGTGTTTCATAAAGTCATGCAATAATCACGTCCTAATTTGTGGACCTTATTGTGCCTGAGGTAGGCCTAAGCGACACATAGACTTGGAGAAAATTGGTGCCAACGTTTGCTTCATTTCATTAATGCGAAAATGAGCCAAAACAATCCTTTACTAAAATGAAAATAATAATAATAATAATAATAAAGTTGCTAATAGCATTT